TAAACTGTTTATCTTATGAGATGTTACTTCGTCTGATATCGTTCTTAAAGATGACATTGAATCTTACCTTAGATAATGATGACTGGTTGGAAATAAGTGAAAGGTAAAACCGTGTATCGTGGTAATGGAAGACTTCGTAGGCAAGGGCAACGAATTATTCAGTTGAGTGGGTGAGGTAGGGGACATTTATGGACATTAACTTCGTCCCACTTGTTTCGCACTGCCCTCTTGCATAGTATCATATTTAACTCTCTCTACGATATGAATATAACATAGATCAATGAAGCCAAATCATAAGTAGATGCTGCACATAGGTTGATATCAAATGCCTAAGTGATCATATTTCTAGAGAACACTGTGTTTCGCAAGCGCTGCGAAAGACGAAGAGAAAATTTTTGATTAAGGGATCATGAACAGTTGTGAAAGAAAAATTTTATTGAACAAATTAATTACTCCAAAATAGGGTGATTAATTATGAACAGCATATCATGGAATTGCATTTCATTTATAGCCATTGCGCAAAATTTAACGTAAGCGCTATTTCATTTTTTGTTTGACAGAAGCCTCCTCGTCGTGAACTCGTCGAACTCATGTGTATTTACAAAGGACAAACCGAAACTTCGACAAAATCATGTTGTCGCAGAATCGCGAAACAAAGGGAAACATGCCATTGAAATAAAGAAACCAACAACGAGGCATATCGAGCACCGATCGAGAAGATATCAATGCATTTGATCCTGATTGGCCTTTGTGTCATACGTTTGGTCACGGAGAGCTCTGTTGCAGCACATCAACGAATAGCGAGGCCACTGTTTCACTTTGCCAGTAGTACTGTACACATCCGAGACTTAAGCGAGGACGAAAACGCATACTCGTCACGTTCAAGCCTTCCACATGAGACGTTCTCGGTAACTTCCAGTCATCAAATGGCAGAATTCTTCTGAGCGGTCACAGAGCCAACTAGTGCCAATCAATGCCACGGTTCACTGTTGAGGAAACGCTCTGCTTAGCCATGTGGCGATGATAGCAGAAGTGTCCTTGGCCGGATTATCACCAAAGGACTGCAGACATTTATGGCGCAGTCGTCGGGACGATCAGGAGGCTTACCACTGGATACGTGGGAAAGTTTCCCTGAACAAGTCAACCGACAATGGAATAGTTGAACAGTTCAGAGTAGCATGTCAGAAAGCACGTTCATTTCGTAAAACGTCCTAATGCTCACCAGGGATGGCTTCTGATAACTGGCTATTCCATTATTCAGAGTTGAAATCGAATCGAAAGAGCTAAAAATAAAAACATTTATTGAAAGCATTTTTGACTCTTGGTTCATAAATCATAACGGGACAATTTTTTTGATGCCAGATTTTGGTATGCAAGCGTAATTCAAAAATTAAAAGTTTACATTACAGTCTCTCTTTTAAGTCAAACTTATACATTTTTGTCACACTCATACCTACCCTGATTTCTGATTAGCAAAACATTCTTTTAATAAAGACGAAGAAACTGACATATTGCATAATGGGAAAAATCAAAACAAAAGCTTTCGCAGTCAAAGTAGAAAAATTTACCGTTTCAAAGCATGGATACAGTCTTCAACTTCAACCAGGTTCATGCTACTGTAACATCTGATTGCAGCCTCAAGGCAAAACGGTTTATTCCTGAACTACACGGGCACACGTAGACGGCCACTTCATGGTCAACCTTCACTACACAGAACTGGCGCATTTTATAGTGTTCATCACTGTCGAGATGTCTTTGAGTCTTCATTATTGAACGGCCATTTTTTACACGTGCAACAGCAGAGGTAAGACGCAGGCAGTTCCTTCCTATTCGTGCGAAATAGATAGATCAGCTTCGACAACTGAGGTCGTTTCTCCCTGGTCGCTTCGTTATCCCTAAAAAGCACCGGAATGCTGACGCCCAGGAACAGCCGTCGCACCCTTGACTGCCATGAGTCCCATTCTTCTGCAGATCAAAGAGTGGCAATGCTCCGAGATTAAAGGGATCTTCATATTGCGGTGTCTAAACATTCTTTTTGCATTTGAGCGTTTGTTCAGAAAGACAAAAATAATTTAAACGATTGCTTCGTGGCTATAAAGCGGGACATATTTCACTGCAAATATGACTCCAGAAACAGTGTATCTTGACAAAAGGAGAATCTGGCACAGTTACTGAGAAAGTTGCAAAACTAAGTGAGTGATAGAACTGACAAAATCAGAAGAATAAATGATAGTAAAGGTCATCGCAATCCGTGACCACCTTGCCTAAACTGCAATTAGTCTTCCAGAGTAGTTAAAAAAAGAAAATGTATACACCTGAAATATCGGTCTTCCTAACATTTTCATAACGGGCCGTTTCTGCCACCCTTTTCTTCCTATCACACTAATGTCATCGCTCTGATTTCGATTTTCCTGCCATTAGCCACCGATACTTGATTTTAAAGACAGAATCCATATACGCGATGTGGCAAGAATACCGTGTTTTCTCCGTTTCCTTTCCAGAGTGGTAGTCAATTATTAACCTCAGAAGGACGATTAATGAGTCGACAGGAGCTCCAAATTGGGATGTCACGCTTTACCTTCAACACTCGATCGACTGAGCAACCATCGTCAGCGAAAGACACTTGCATTGATGAAAAAGCCGCAAATTATCATCAGTACAAATGGAGCAGCCCTCCGTGGCGATCTGTTGCAGTTGCGGTCCTTTCTCACTGCGGCTGAAAGATTTATCTTCATACAAGGATGATGAGGCACCCCAATCATAGTAGTGGCTTGATATAAAACAATGTGCACAGCATACAGTATCAATTTCTTTTCTACCATGTGTCAAAATATTATCCACCATCATAGCTTCAGGAA